AGTTGCATTAGGGGACATAGAATGCTTTTACGTTGCCTGGTAGGTACATGTCTAGCTTCCCCTGAATGATTTACTTTGTTACGAGGCGTGATAATGTAAAAGTAGTTTCCCTGGTAAGCCTGAGAATGGCCACAGTCAGCTGGCGTAAAGCAATGATATGATAAATGCAATTAATCCGCCGATATTTACTATATGGGCTTGAAACTAAATAAAGAAACACATTGATAAACAGTTTCCTACAAATCAGGAAGAAAATGACAAACTTTCACATCTAAATGATCCGTCAATGTAACATTAAGCCAACCGCTAAAAAGAAATCGACCTCATTACACATAAGAACACTTTCCCTGGTATATTTGAAAGTGAATTCGTCATCCATGTGGCTGATTAGCTCCTAAAGTATGACGACCGTCCCCTGCTGTTATATAGATTCGCCCAGAGTAGGCGTGACCACAAGACGGCGCCAGCGAGATTCGAAAGTTTAGTCAAAACCCAAACAGTTAGCTAATTTACTAGCGAGTTTGCAAATTGGCTGCCCCAATACTTCTTCTGAGACTTGCTGTAAATGTAAAATTATTTCTTTATAAGCCATGTACAAAATGTTACTTGCTTATACTAAAGCTGCACATGGGTTTGTAAGACACACTGTTTTACTCTAATAATAATTAATAGTTCACCAACTCTTTACCAGACATGGTTTTTAGTGATCTATCACCTACCCTGTTTTTTTTCTACCATTTACTGCAGTCACATTGCTTCCATGATGTCTTCACAAGACTTAAAAGTTGTCGTAGGTGCTCTACAGATGGCTGACATTCTAATGCAGAAATTGCCAGATATCTTCCATGTGTACTTCAGAAGAGAAGGTAAGGATGATATTACTATTCACAGTATAACAATCATTTGGTACTTTGGGGTAACATGCAGACGTGATTACTTTTAGAATCATATCCTTGCATGTGAATTAGTTAATTTACAAATAAATATTCAATTTCAGCCTAATTACAAAACAATTTTGAATTACTATGGTCAGATTTAGTAGATTTTCAGACTTTTTTTTATGAAGGGAATATTCTATTTTCTCTAGTATCAGGAGCAAATCAGTATATCTCAGTAGCAAATTAAAATTTAATCTATGCTTGAATTTAATAACACTTCTCCTATTATGATTAAACTGTAAAGCAAACCAGATATTCCTAATCTTTTACGGCAAGGTTATGATAGTAATGCACAGTATTTGGTCATGTAAAGACCTAATTAAATGTGCTTTGAGTTTTCTAATGGAATATGCATGTACATTTTTGGTCATGAATGAAATTTTGTGTTGGATGATAAGTCTTTGCCGTAGACCTTTAATGCCGACCTTAACTGACAGTTATGGATTTTGATTTTCCAGATATTGCATATGTGATTGCATATTCACATGTGACCTCTGCTGAGTTTAAATTTGATTTACTCTCATCACAGGATGCCTTCATTGAATGGGTAGTACTGTTATTTATGCATTTTCCAATCCAAACTTTGAATTTAAAAAAAATGTGTTTGTTGGTATCTTTGTAGGCGTTATGCATCAAGTGAAACATTTAGCTGAATCTAAATGGGACCAGCCATCACCTGTAAAAGAAGCTCACATTGTGAAGGCCTCAGAAGAGATTATATCAACTCACTCACCGCTGGATGAGTCTATAGATCAAGATAGTTTTGCACAAGGGTAAGTTTATCATGATTTGTCGGGTAAACCAAAAGGTATGAAGTAGATTTGGATAACTTTCTTTGATTCAATTTTATGGTTACTAAATTTGCTCAATTGTCTGTCTAAAGGTGCCAAAGTTTTTTTGGTTAGGTACACCAGACTTTTACTCTATATACATAGTAGTAATACAGCTCTTACGCCGTGAGTATTCTTTCCAGCAAAACAAAAAAAAATAATATTATCACCTGCACAAGTTGTTGAATTGTTTGTTTGTTTTCTTGTGACTTTCTTTGGGACTTTGTTTTGAAGAATATACAAGTACCTGTGTGTTGAAGATTCATGTGGTTTTCGGTTAATCAGTGTCTATATGGAAGTTGTGATCTCCAAAAATTCTGTGTAAATAAATGATGGAGATTCTGTATGGACAGTAACATAGTAATCAGAACTTAGTATAGATTGTTTTAGGAATAATTTTTGTGCAGTGCATCTTTTACAACAATTTTCATAAAACAACATGTAAAACGATTTTTACTGAGGTGATGATCCACGCTCTGAAAAAAATAAAATTGCACAGTCTATTTATTGCCTGGAGCAAATAATATTATGAACAAAACATACCATTTAAATTACTCTCCTTATTTATTCTGAACGAAGAACTAATGACATAACACAGGTTGCAATGTATAATACCGTAGCTGTATTTCTGTTTTAATAGGGATAACTTACCTTGTGCATGTGATAGTAACTATGAACATTGTTGACATATTCTGGTTGTCTTAAATGATTCAGTATTCTCTTTACTTTTGATTGATAGTCGTCTTAGTGATGTTTTAAAAAGGAAGAGGCCCCCGAAACGGACAAGTGCCAGGAAAAGTAAATATGCAGCACCTGATGAATTACCGATAGGAACTGGTCCTTATGATAACTTAGAACCTTACAGTAAAGGTTCACCACCTTTACCATCATCTAAGCCATTTACATCTGCAGCTACAGGAAGGTCCACTGCTCTGAAAGGAAGGACTGCTCAAGGTATGTACATCTTTCCTCAATCTCAATATTAACTTGAATAAGCTTCAATAGTTGTTTCTAGTCTGAATCCAACTGACAATTATAATGAATAACCATAAAATTTTAGCCAAGTTCAGAGCTTGAACTTCGGTATACTGAGGGCACCCAATTTCAAGCCCAATAATTCTGAAAATTTCCCGAACTTCTTGAAATTGTGAAGACATCCCATGAATTTTGAGCCCTGCAAGTTTATTTTGAGATGTCTTATGATTAGTCAGTCATGTACAGTTATGGCTTAAATATTTTAATTTATTTCACATTAGCTTATTTTGATATTGCAGCATATTTAAAGGTAATATCTTGCATAAACCTTTGGTATTGTAATCAGTTCACATCCACCCCATCCTCCCAAATATTATACACATACAAGCAAGATGATTTGTTGTTTTTCGTTTTGTGTTTCTGACTTCACATTGATGCATGTCATTTTGTTTTTGTGATTTGATTCAAAATGCCTGACTGGTGTTCTCTTATTGATTTGGGAATTCAATGAAATGTAACCAACTGACAGTTGTATTGTGTGTCCCTCCAATTCACTGCTGTCCCAACAAATACACACAGCAGTGACAACTAAACAGTTTACAGTATATTCCTGTCAAAAAATACAGTGGATGAGTTTCAATGTTCAATGTTTACTCTGTACAGAATAGGAAAATGTCTGCTTCATCTACTGTGTTCATGTACTCATGCTTCTTGGAGATATGCTTTTATATACCCATCTAGGTAATAAATATCATTAGTAACTCTATGTTTCAGTCACTGATTAAAAAAAATTTCTATTTGGTTAAAGGTAAAGGTACTGGTGCTTCTCCAAAGACATCTTTCTTAGCCAGTTTGAACCCTTCAAGATGGGGACGTAATGCGAATAATAGTGGTGGTCCTTCTGACAAGACAGCAAAAGAGATGCCTCTACCAAGTACAGCAAGCATGGCTAGTCAAACTATGGCAAATAACAAAGAAAAAGTTAAAGTCTGGATCAAAGATCAAGGTATTTATATTATTACTATCAAAGTGACCACTGTATTATTAGTGATTTATTAGTCCACGTTCGAACGAAGTCAGAAAATGGGGACTCATAATTCGGTCTCCGTCCGTCCAGACTCGTATCTTGCATGTGTCTAGTACTTTATGTGGGACATATGCACATGCAGGTATGTACGACCTAGAAATAGTGCCGTATGCGAGTACCAAGTTGCGAGTCGCAAGTAGCAAAATATGCCATATGCTAGTGGTAAAAACGGCATGTGCGAGTGGTAAAATGTATCGTTTGCTAGTAGCAAAAAAGCCCTATGCGAGGGGTAATACAAAGGCTTGTAGCGTTTGCTTATAATATAACAACGTACGTTCAATATTGTGTTTTATCACAGTAAAATCAAATATTTACCATGGTTATGAAATGATGTGTACATGGTTGGTTAAGATTGGCAAGATGCTGCTAAGGTTTTTACTTTTAATAGGGGTGATTCATATATAAAAATAATGGTAGAAAATAGGTGTCGTGCGATCTAGCCTAT